AAAAGGCATGCAAAGTCGATTTTTGCATGTATTGTTGTCGCTTTTCCGTGTTGCTGATTGGTTGTCTCGATTTGCGTTGTGTGTTAAATTTATAGCATGGAACGGTTGTCAACGCAAAGATTAATAGTTTGACAGTTGTTTAAAATAATATTAACTCTCAAAGCACACAAAATCAACGGCGCGCGCGAAGCGCGCGCTTGTGTTGTCTAGTCATCTATAATAAAAAAAGTCATTTGTACGCTGAAGTGCCTGTTATATCGCTTGTAATTGTTGCCACTTTTCCGCGTACGTAATTGGCGGTCGATGCTTTTGTTAGAGAAAGGTGTGAACGTAATTACTGAAAGTTCGAATAATATACACATATAAAATATAATATATATAAAATGCACATATATTATATAATATTCAATAATATATAATATATATAACATTAATAACAGAAAGAAAGAAATAGAAAAAAGAGAGAAGAGAAAGAGAGAAAACCTACAAATTATAGACATCGAAGAATTGGAACAAAAGGAGATTAAGAAAAGGAAATGAGAAAGGGAGGTAAAGTTTTATATAATAGCTGTAATTTTTCCAAATTTTAGGACCCATAATGAACAAATCATTATGTTAGACATTAACACGTTATTTTGCAATATATTTTATTATCAAACTGAGGACCATTTCAAAAACATATTCTTATTTAATGTGATAATTAGTTTTTCCAAATTTTAGGACACAATGTACGAATCATCATGTTAGGTATTGACACGTCATATTTCAATATTTTTTTTATCAATCTAAGGACCATTTTAAGGACGTATTCCCATATTTTGAAGCTCTCTCTTTCATTTTTTAATTTGTTTCAGTCATTTCAAGCGATATTTAATTTTAGGATTTAATGTACGTATCATTATGTTAGGTATTGACATTTTATTTTGCAGTATTTTTTATTATCAAACTGAGGACAATTTAAACGACGTATTCCCATATTTTGAAGCCAGCTTTTTCATTTTTTAATTAGTTTTGGTCATTAAAGGTGATAATTAATTTTTCCACATTTTAGGACGAAATGTACGAATCATTATATGTTCGGTATTGACATGTCATATTTTAATATTGTTTATTATTCAACTGAGTACTATTTAAAGGATGTATTCCCATATTTTGAAGCCAGTTCTTTCATTTTTTTATAAGTTTTAGTCATTGAAAAGGATAATTAAGTTATAAAATTTTAGGATACAATGTACGAATCATTATGTTAGGTATTGACACGTTGTTCGAAATTTGAACGTTAAAAACTTGCGGATAAGAAATCATTAGAATCTTTCATGCAGTATTAGCATGCAACATGCATCATGCGGATAATTTATTTTATATTATTTTGTAACTTGCGTAATCTTACATTATATTTAAAACAGCGCTCGGCCGCAAGGGTATACAGATACTCCGCGCCTGCGAAAAATAAGCGCTTACGTAAAATCATAATAAACAGTAAGGACCGCGGCCGCGCGATAGGTGATATACAATAGTTCGGTTAATAACAAAATGCGATGTCGATCTCACAATAAACAATAACTCTATATGTTCTTTCGCCCTCAACCTACCGATGGAATAATAAAAATGTTCGCGAATATTCTAGAAAATAGGGACTATATAAGCACCCTCGCAAGAAGCCGCGGCGCTCTTTTCCAATTGCTTATCGTCGCGAATAGAGTGTGCTTCTAATCTCAGAAAAAGATCGCTTGTCTTTTTTGCTCTCAATTACCGTTGCTTGCGGAACACTCAGTACTTTATTTTTGACACGGCTTTTCTCTCGGTTATTGTACTTTCTGATACTTTTGACTCGGTTATCTTTCGGTAAATTCTGTGCGGTCTGAATAATTATATTTTTTTTGTTAGTAGTGTAAATATATTTATTAAGATTCACGATACGTGTGTGTCGAGTGCAGTGCTTTTCTGTCGTCTTGCTTCTGACCTTCCTATCCTGCTTTCCGTCGCGCACACACGTTATATTTCAATATTTTGTTTATCAATCTGAGGACCATTTTGATGAAGTATTCCAATATTTTGAAGCCTGCTCTTTCATTTTTTAATTAATTTTAATCATTTAAAGCGATGATTAAATTTTCCTAATTTTAGGACCCAATAATGTACGTATGTTCGGCATTGACATGTCATATTTCAATATTGTTTATTACCAAACTGAGGACCATTTAAAGGACGTATTCCCATGTTTTGAAGCCAACTCTTTCATTTTTTTATAAGTTTCAATCATTTATAGCGATAATTAATTTATAAAATTTTAGGATACAATGTACAAATCATTATGTTAGGTATTGACACGTCATATTTCAATATTGTTTCTATCCGAGGACCACTTTGATGACGTATTTCATTATATTGAAACCCAATCTTTCCTTTTTTAATTAGTTTCAGTTATTTAAATCTATAATTAATTTTTTCCAAATTTTAGGACTCAATGTACGAATCAAAATGTTAGGTATCGACGCGTCATATTTCTATATTTCATTATCAATCTGAGGACCATTTCAAGGACGTATTTCTATATTTTGAAACCCGCTCTTTCATTTATTAATTAGTTTCAGTCATTTAAAGCGATAATTAATTTTTTCCAACTTTTATGACTCAATGTGTACGAATCAATATGTCAGGTATATTGACACGTCATTTCTCAACATTTTTTATCATCAAAGTGAGGACAATTTCAAAGACGAATTCCCATATTTTAAAGTCCGGTCTTTCATTTTTTAATTAATTTTAGTCATTTAAAGCGATGATTAATTTTTCCAAATTATAGAACCCAGTATATGAATCATTATTGTGTGTGCGCGGGTGCGCGCGCGCGCGTGTGTATGTGTGTGTGTGCGTGTGTGTGTACACATATATATATTTCATATACACAGGATATCTCAAGTCTGAAAACAGTCACATGAAAATATTTCATAAACTTAATATATACATGTTAAAAAAAATCTTTCAAATATAACTTGTAGGATTTTAAGGAAATGCTGACTATGTCTGCTTTACCGACTTTGAATTCAAGGGTTTTTATTTTTATTGGTTAGGTTAAAAAATCTTTCTCCACAATTAATGTACTAATAATAATGAACGGGGACGCTGTAATTTTGCATAAAAAAAAATAAAAGTTAAAAAATTACCTTGTTGAAAAAGCCTTGTTAAACTCTTAATTTATATACACGCTGGCTTAAAAACGCGTTTGTTTATCAACATTATTACATATAGCAGAGAAAAGCATAGAATCGAAAGGATCTGAATAGCTCAGTTGGAAGAGCAGTCGCCCGGCAAGCGAAAGGTCTCGGGTTCGATTCCCGATTCAGCGACTTTCGGATCTATATTTTTCTCTTGCATTTACTTATTTTCCGTAGGGGGGTGAAAGGGTTATTGAAATTAAATCTCAAATATAAGATTATTTCATATTTTAAATCTTGGCCGTGACCAAGTAAAAATATTTGGTGCCTTGTGCACAGATACTTAATCCTAACAAAAATTTAGTTTCGTTAGGATAACGCCCTGTCATCCGCGAGTTGGCTCTTACTGCCTGTCTTATATCTTTAAATTTATAAAAAATTACAGTTTTTTTTTATCGGCCTCTTGCATCAGCTCATAACAATAGTTATTTAATACACCCTCTCGTTGTCCGCCACCTTGTCGTGGTGAGAGGGCTCACCCTTCGCAAGAGGATACTCTTGCGAGGGGTGCCAAGAGCGGACCGTACCTTCCAAGGTACACTGCCCCCGGTTTCGGGGGCACGCCCTCCGTCTCTGGGGCTCTCTTCGGGCGGCGGAAGAATTCCGCCCCCCGGGGAGACGGGGCCCACTTCCCCGTTAGAGCTTCGGCTCGTATGTGGTAAGGGATGGCGACCCGGCATTCAAACGCCCGGTGGCATGGCACCGTCAGGAGAAGGGACTGCACGGCGCTTCGGCGCTTCTCTTCCCACCATGCTCTGTGGCCTGACAAGCCTGTCAGGTAGACGGCTTCTGCCGTCGGGGGTCTGCTTTCCTTTCGTCCTGGGGGGTGCGTTTTGGGATTTCCTGGGAGTTCTTCCTGGGTCGGGGGTGGGTTTTTCTTTGGCGGTGGGGCCGTCGGGGGAGGGAGGTATATGTGCCGCGCGTGATTATCCGAGGGGCATCGCCCGGAGGGGGTCACGCCGGCGGAGGAACCGACACAGTCACCCGAGGGGCTTTGCCCGGAGGGTTGTCTCAAGGGGCTTTGCCCGGAGGGGGCTGTGTCGGTTGGTCTCCGGGGCCGCTCGGACATATTCCGGGGCGGGGCCCGGAGACAAGGATGATCCAGAGTGCTGGTCGGGAGTCCCCAGGCTGGGTAGCCTGGGTCTCCGTCCCAGCGTCTCTGGATGGTTCCCGCACCCGAGCTACTCGGACATACTCCGAGCTCGGGTCGGGTGCGGAGCCACGCGCAACTACCCAAGGGGCATCGCCCGGAGGGCGTTGCGCGGGCCTGCCGCCGAGGCCGCCAGGACTTATTCCGGGGCGGGGCTCGGCGACGAGATTAGATACTCCCGGCCGGTCGGGACCGTTTCCCGTTCCGAACCGGCCGGCCGGGAGAGGTGATGTCTCCTCCACCGGATACTTCGGTGGGGGGACGTGCTGGTTGCCACGGCGGGCAAGGTGTGGACGGGGAGCGGCGTCCTCATCCCAACCGTCCGTGGGGCCCCCCGGGTGGCGCCGCTTGTTTCGGTGCCCCTTTTGTCGGAGGAGGGGGACCCCCGAAAACCTGCGGGGACGTCAAAATCCCCGTGGACCAGTAAGGGGCTCGGAGCCCTGTGCCGGGGTGCGGCATTCCCCCCGGTCAGAGGCATAAACCGGCTCCCCGGGAGTCCCCGGGGCACCGGTCTGGGGGGCGGCTTCGGGCGCGGACGCCGGTCACGTTTCGGGTCGCGCTTCGGGTCGTTCCCCTGCCGGCGGGAGATACGCCGGCTGGTTGAGCCGGAACAAGGAGAGGGATTTTTCAGAATGAGCGATAAACTAACTGAAACCAAAATCGAGGCAAAGACGGAGGAGAGGGAGGCAGCACAATCCAATGTGCAAACGGCGAGCGACACATCTGCTCCTGCCAGAATTCTCGTGCAGCAAGTACTGCAAGACTGGTTGCCGGATGGAGAGCCCTGGACTCTCCCACCGACCAACCAAGAGGTGAATATGGAGCCAACAACGGCACAATTAATATATGGAGAAAGCTATTCCCACGACCCGGACAATTTCCGTAGGAGGACTAGCAGATCATCGGATCGATACGATCCAGAACGGGAAGCACGTTCGGATACCGAACCCATGGAGGATCCTCAAACCCCTGTTGTCAATAGCTGCAAAGGCAATGAAAAATCAGTTGTTGTACCGGAACAAATAGTGATAGACGTCTTCCCCCAACATTCTCTGTGTGGAGAGGACTCGAATATTTCTGGGATAAGTAACCCAATTATTGGAACCGGTGAAGATAATAACCCACCGCAAAGAGAAATGGACCTCGATATGGACAATGCCTCGGTGGCATCGTCATCAGCCCAAATATTGGGCAAAAGAAAGAAGGCGAGACGGGACAGTGATACAGATGACCCGTCTCCACAAATAAGGAGGAGAAGTTCACGAACGAGCAAGGCCCCGTGCCTGGGTTCAGATGAGGAATCATCCAACAAAAGGATCACCAGGAGTACGCACGCTGCCAATCGAAATGAAGTGTTAATTAACACGGACTCCGAGCCGCAGTCCCAATCGTGCTCGGAGGCGGAAGCTAATGCTAAGAAGCCTTCCAAGAAGCCTGCCAGAAGGATGAGAAGCATAGGCGAGCCGACTATCGAACAACGTCTCCGACCGCTCCCACTAAATGTGGAAGAACTTTACTCAGCGCCGATTTCCGAAGTGAGAGCCTCTGCGATAGAATGGCTCAACGATATCGATACAATAAGGATCAACAGCAACTACCAGGGTGCCCTTAGTGGACAGATACGCAAACGAGTAAATGTGATCAAAGAGATCCTAAGAGTCCTTGGAGAAAAGATTGAGGATACTGGTGACCCGAGCTATCTAAGGAGAAGGAACTCTGAGCTTGCAGCAGAGCTGGCGGCATCTAAAAGAGAGACTGCCAAACTGAGAAGAGATGTTCAGGATCTACAAAAAATCGTAGGAGATCTCAAGAAGGCAATAGATGGAGGTCGTTTCGTCGAGAAGGCAGAGAAGGCAACCTCCCCGTTCGAAAATCCCCGCAAGGACGCTAAGTCCAAATCCAGGGAGAGAAGAGACACTCGCGGCAACGCAAACGCTTACATGGACACACAAAATGCAGATGTGGTCATGAGGCCTCCGATAAAAGGAGTCTCCAAACCGATACCTGCAGTGGAGACAAGTACACTAAGAGACTTACATGATGAGGACGCAGAGCTATCCAGACGCATCGCTGAACTCGCATCCCAAAGGAAACTACTGCGACAATCCTTCCAGAAACAGGGAAAAGAAAACCCTGCTACTGGCCCTGTCCCAGCTGGAACCCCACAGGATGCTGCTAAAAATAAACCTAGAGTGATAAGCAATACCCAAATCGTTGCTCCAAAAGAGACAAGGACCCAAAACCCACAAACGGTGGCCCAATTCAATGATCCAGCGGCAGGCCCCAGCCAGAGGAGCGATGCCTGGCAGAAGGTCGAGTCCAAAAAGGACAAGCGTCTAAGGAAAAAAGAGGCTAAACAAGCCGCTCTCAATAGCCAAAAGGCTAATAATGTGAAGCCGAATAACAACGGCAACAACGGCGAAGTCAAGAGGAGAAGACCACCCAGGACAGCAGCAGTCGCTATCAAGGGCGTAACGAACGACTTCTCATACGCGGCAGCCCTGAAAAAACTCAGGGAAGTAATATCGCTAAGCGATTTAAATATAGACAAGTCGTCTATAAGACATTCCGCCAGCGGCGGAATCGTCATTGAAGTCCCCGGCAAAGATAAAGCCGAAAAAACTGAAGCCCTGAGAGAAAAAGTCTCCATCGTACTCGGAGAGTCGGCAACGGTTACAAGACCTGTCGTCAAAGGCGAAATGAGACTCATCGGACTCGATGACTCGGTTGTCCCGGACGAAGTGGCAGACGTCATCGCCACTGCAGGAGACTGTAAGGCCGAAGAAGTAAAGGTCGGCACAATAAGACCCATGACAAATGGGCTATTCACGGTGTGGGCCCAGTGTCCCTTAGCAGCCGCAATCAAAGCGACCCAGAAGGGCAAAATTAGAATAGGTTGGACCGTCGCCCGTATAGACCTTCTAAAAGCCAGGCCGACCCAATGCTATAAGTGTTGGGGTCATGGTCACTTAAGAAATAAGTGCACGGCTACGGTTGACAGGAGCCAAACCTGCTTCAGATGTGGTGGAGAGAATCATCCCGCCCTTAAATGCCAGAACCCAATTCGCTGCATTTTGTGTGTCGAGCAAGGAAAAGACCCCAACCATAGAGTGGGGTCTAATCAGTGTAAAGCGAACTTTAAGGCGCAACCCAATCCCATCACAGCAGAAGACCCGGACCGGAGGCCGGTTGCTATGGAGATAGGAAATGAAGTATCGAATTCTCCAATGTAACTTAGGTAGAGGCTGGCAAGCCCAGAACCTCCTTGAGCAGCACGTCGCAGAGTTTGGCATTGCCATCTGTGCTGTATCGGAGCCGCGTATTGTCCCGGATAACATTTCGTGGTTCGGCAGTAGCAACAATTTAGCAGCCATATACTGGCGGCCTGTCGGTGCTATACGTACGTGTACGTTGATCTACAGAGCTCGGGATTTTGTAGTAGTCAAACACGGAGACATCAGCGTAATTTCGTGCTACATATCCCCAAACAGCTCCAGAGAGGAATTTCTTACCTTCCTCGACGAGCTAAGTGTAGCTATAAGAATATTGGGCGGTCGAACCCTCATTTGCGGTGACTTCAACGCGAAATCCTCACAGTGGGGCTCCCGAAACACCGACCGCAGAGACGAACTCGTGGACGAATGGGCAGCGGAGCATGATCTGCGTTTGATTAATTCAGGCGCTCTCCCAACCTGCATAAGACCCCAAGGTTGGTCAATAATTGACTTGACGTGGTCAACCGCAGACATTTGCGGTTCTATCAGCGGCTGGCAGGTCATGAACAACACCGAATCCCTGTCCGACCACGAATATATCCAAATTTTTTTTCGGACGAGATGATGGTTATCTAAATGTCAATGATCGAAGTAGTAATAGTCAAAAATATCCAAGATGGAATATCAAAAAGATGGATATCGATAAATTTCGGGCCGCAATACTCTGGAACTGCACAAACTCCGACGATCAGCCTACGGAGAAAACTGCAGAAGATCAGGCTAAATGGATCGAGCGCTCCATCCACCAAGCGTGTGATGTTGGCGCTAGCAGGATTAAGAAACCTCCTCTGAAAGAGCAAACATACTGGTGGAACACTAACATCGCAAGACTCAGAGAAGACCTATAGCTACGAGAAGAGCATGGTCCCATGCAAAGCAAAGAAGAAGACCCCTGGAGATTTTAACACCACTTCGGGATCGGTATAAAGTGGCTAGAAAAGCCCTTAAAAGCGAAATTAGTAAGGCAAAATACATAGCCTGGCAGGATCTCATTCAAACGATCGAGGACGATCCCTGGGGCCTGCCCTATAAGGTAGTCCTGAAGAAACTGCGCAGATCTTCTCCTAGCCTTACCGAAACACTCAATGAGGACACGGTAAACACTCTCCTGGAATCCTTGTTCCCGAGTGGAGTTGAAACGGACCCTAATGAGCTATGGCCTAACTGGCAATGGCCTGAAGAGACGGCAGAGGAATACAACATCACCGCCAAAGAAGTATTCACCACCATCAAACGAAAAGCCGGCAATAACACGGCCCGGGACCGGACGGGATCAAAACAAGGATACTAGGTCTACTCCCAGGAGAGATGATAGCAGATATCGTAACCTGCTTAAACACGTGCCTCAAAGAGGGCACATTTCCCAAGAGATGGAAGCGCGCCATGCTCGTACTAATACCTAAAGGAGGCAACGGCCCTGACGAGACAATTCAGAAGGTACGTCCGATATGCCTTCTAGACGAGATTGGCAAAATCTTTGAAAAGATTATCGTGGATCGACTCAACGCCTGGATGAACGAAAACCCGGTCCACCAACTTTTGGCAAACCAATATGGATTCCGAGAGGGGCGATCCACTTGTGACGCTCTAGCACAAGTCCAGTCGGCAATTGAGGAGGCTATCCAACAAGATGGAGTCGTGATCGCGATTAGCCTGGACATTTCTAATGCCTTTAATTCGCTCCCGTGGCCAGTCATTAGAGATGCTCTTAAACGGAAATGTTTCCCGGAATACTTGAGAAGAATAATCGATAGCTACTTACACCAGCGCTCCATCGAGTTCTTAGACAATCAAGGTAACGTCATTACCAGATCAATGACGGCTGGGGTACCCCAAGGGTCGGTCCTCGGCCCCATTCTCTGGAACGTTGGGTACGACTGCGTCCTCCAAGAAGGCAATGAGTATGGGTGTCGAACCGTTTGTTACGCGGACGACACCCTTATTCTAGCAACAGCTGATACGGTCTCCACTGCCATAGCAAGAGCCAACTACCAGACGGCATTGATCCTAAATAGGATCAAAAGTTTAGGACTGTCAGTATCGGTTAATAAGACCGAGGCGGTACTGTTCCACGGCAGAAGAAAACCGGACCAGCTTCCATGTGTAACAATCGGCGGCGAGATCATTCCAACCAAGACGTCGATGAAATATCTTGGTGTGATATTGGACTCTAGAATGTCATTTAGAGCCCACTTCGAATACGTGGAAGCTAAAGTCTCCAAAGTCTCGAGATCCTTGGGCAGACTCATGCCCAATCTGAGGGGACCCAGAGAAGCAAAAAGGAGGTTATACGCTAATGTCGTGCTATCGATTATTCTCTATGCCGCACCAATATGGTGCGATGCCTTAACAGCCGCAAGACGTAATCGGGAGAAACTCGACCGACTAATGAGGATCACCAACTTAAGGGTCATCTCTGCATACCGGACGGTCTTACTTGACGCAGCATCGCTTCTGGCGAGAATTCCGCCACTGCACCTTCTGGCGGCAATGCGGAAACGTGTATACGTAAGAACGTCTGAGTCAAGACTACTTAGTGACTGGACATCAAGTATGGCAAACGAGATCAGAGAGTCAGAGGCGTTAGTTATGCGCAGGCAGTGGGAAATATATACACAAAGGCCAATGATCGCCGGTATTCGTACTAGAGACGCAATTTTGCCCAATATACGGGCCTGGTTGGACCGCCGACATGGAAGCATGGCCTTCCACTTGACCCAAATACTAACGGGTCACGGCTGTTTTGCCTCATACTTATATCGCATAGGCAAAATAGGATCTCCAGTATGCGAGCACTGCTCTGGAAACAGCATCGACAGCGCAGAACATACCCTACAGGACTGTGGTAAATGGAGCGCTGAAAGAGAAGCCCTGAAAGCCGTCATCGGAGACGACCTAGGCATGGACAAAGTGGTGCAGGCCATCACCTCGGATGAAGACGCCTGGAGAGCCATGACTAAATTCACGGAGACAGTCATGCTCCAAAAAGAGACCAGGAGAGAGAGAGACAGGCACGAGACGCCCTAATCCCACCCCTCTCAGTTCAGACTCTAGCGAGGAGGAAACGTTACTTCCTCATCATCAACGTCGTCCTCGATCCACTACAGTGAGGAAGCGCATAAAAGGGACGACCTAATCCTTAGATTAGGTAGTAGCTCAAGTAGGAGGCAAATAGAGCCCTGGCGAGACGTTAGGATCGCCATGGAAGCTCTAACCAACCAAGGATGGCTTCAAATAGATGGTTGGGGTTCTCTCACCCAATAATCTAACCCAAGCATATGAGGAAAGATGGTTGGGGTAGTTATGGTACCATTACCATCACCAACTTCCATGAACAAAGGCATACACAATGTACTTGCTTGTCCTGTACATATGTGTTATTATTATTAACTTAAGGAATGAGTATGTGTATGTATTCGTGTGAGTGCATGAGGTGCGTCGCGCGAGTGTATATGCAATAATGTGTGAGTGGATAAATATGTGTGTATGTGTATGCATGTGTGTGTGTATTAGCATATATGTGTGTATGTGTACAGACGTGTGAAAGGGTATGAATGTGTGTACGTGTGTAAGCACGGTTAGACACAACCATGAGGGCTACCGTGAGGATGTTATCGCGAAAGCGAAGCTGGGTTGGACCCGGGAAAGTAATGCCGACAGCAGTTCTCCCGGGCCCAACATCGACCAGGAAGGAGGAATGCCTTCTGGTCAAGGGCAGGGGTTTAGTGGGTAGGGCTGGTCGCGACCTGTCCGTCTTGCGTGGGGGATCGGAGGCTAGCTCCGACCAACCACGCGGGATGCGGGAGTTACGACCGGAGGAGTCACCACATAACCGTACGGGGACCGGCCCCGTCGGTATCCGTAAGATGGATTCCCCTGCCCAGCGCCGTATCGCTAAATAAAAAAAAAAAAATAGTTATTTAATACAAAAGTTCTGCAGTTTATTTGTGCACAAAATATGGCGCTCCGAATAGAGATGTCAGGAAAGAATAATACAGAAGTAATAAAAATGAAATTCAAAGTCTGTATCAAAAGATTCGTAATTGAATTAATTATGTATGTATATTTGCATGCGGAATCGATGGCATAAAACAGCAAAAATTAGTTGCAAGACAGCGCTCTCCATTCATTATTATCACTACTTTTATTGTGAAAAATTTTTCAAATTGTATATTTAATAAAAAGCGAATTTAACCCTTAGTCCCGACTCAAGAGTCGTTTGCGTCCGCGGTGAGATTGTTGTGCTCGCTGTGACGACCTGATTTCTTAATAACAAACTATATAAAAAAATAATTTTATCGAAATATTATGATTGAGACTTCAAGTTGAAGGTTGCAAGAAGCTCCATGAATTTCTTCAGATTTTTTAAAGCGTTTTTACTGATCCAAATAACGCAAATACGCAAACGACGCATAAGTCGGGATTAAAGGTGCCGAAAAGAACCGTCGGGACTAAGGGTTAACCTAACTTAAAGTTGGTAAAACAAAACTACGGCAGCATCCCCTTAAATGGTGCACTATATAATAATATTAATGTAATTTTAAATAGCACCATCAATATCACGAAAAAATTATACTTTGAATTTTTTAAATAAAAATCCTTGCTTTTATTTGCATATTCCTTCAAAAGACAAAGTGATTAATACAGAAGGGAAAAGATTGATAAATTTTCTGAATGAGAAAGGGTGGAGTACAATGAATGAGAATGCGAGAGGAGATGAAGAAGGAGAGTAAACATTTACAAGAGGGAGGGGGAGCACAGTGATAGATTATGTAATAGGGATCAAAGAAAGCAGGAAAAGGTGAGAAAACTGAGAATAGGAGACAAGGTAGACTTGGATTACCATCCGTTAGAAATAGAAATGGAAAGGAAAAGGATAAGGAGAAAGGAAAAGCAGCAAGAGGGAGAGAAGAAGAAAAAGAATATAAAAAAGAGAACAGTATATAGGAAGCTGTGCAATAGGAAGAAGATGGAGAAAAATGAAAGATGGGAAAGGTGGGCAGCAAGGTGAAAAGGGAGAAGGAGGTATGGGAAATAGTGAACAGGGAAAAGATGAGGAGGAAAGGGGTAAATGAGGAGATTGAGGTGAAAAAATGGAGATGATATTTCATGAGGCTTGTTATAGCCCGAAAGGCTATAGTTATAAATATAGCGGATATAAAATATAGAATTACTATACTTTCCGCGAGGAGACCGCTGATACAGCAGCGGGCCGGAAACCGCAAAGACGCAAGCTAAGAGCTTCATCTTTGAGCAGCTTTGCGCTCAAAATCTAGCCGCGTAAGCAAAAACTATTCACCAATCGGGTGTCTGTCGCCAGGCACCTCTTCCAAACGAAATAACGAAAAAACCGAGTTCACGTAAGAACTCGGGAGTAAACAAAGAGCGAGTCCAACTAGACCAACCACCCGAGTCACATCAAGGATAACTCCCGACTCGTAATCAGACGAGTCGTTAACTAGCGTTCGAATAAATCTAGAGTCGCGTCAAGCGAGCGAAAAAGAGAAACAAAGTTACCCGAGGGTTAGAAATAATTATACGCCGAGTCTTGATAAGTTTATATACCAATATATATTTAATAAAAAGGAGAACTCTACATCTAATCAGACTATGATTTACTGGGAACCTCGACGATTCGGAAGTCCACTTCCCAATCCGGCGACATCCCTTCTGTGTCTCACCCGAGGCACAACAGGCTACTGGAAAGTGAAAGAAAGAGTGAAGAGGAAAGAGGAGGGGAAAGAAAGAAAAAAAGAGAGGAGGAAGAGAATGAAGAGGAGAAGGAAATAGGAGAAGAAGAAGTGAGAAAAGCAATAAAAAAATTGAAGAAAGCAAAGGCGGCAGGGATAAATAAAATCCCAAATGAAATAATGAAATAATCCCATGGAAATTGGGAGGGGAGAGTGTAGAGGAATGGATACTAGATTTTTGCAACAAGGTATGAAGAGGGGAAGGATGGCCAGAGAAGTGGAGAGAGGGAGTGATCGTGCCGATAGTGAAGAAAGAGGAGAAAAGAGGGATGAAGGACTAGTAGAAAGAGGAGTGACGTTGATGTCGACGCCATACAAAATATACACGATGTATTAGCGAAAAGGCTGAGGAGGGAAATAGAGGAAAAAGAGATGGTAACACTGGATCAAACAGGATTTAGAAGAGGAATGGGAACAATAGATAACATATATGTTTTAACAATGATAAGAATATTAGATCGGCTCTTTTATATATGTTTTAAATTATTTACTAACTAGGTAATTGGAAAAAAAGAGAGGGAGAATGGTGACAATGTTCGTA